TATTCCTTCTATATATATATATATCAATAGCTTTAACAATACATACATACATACAGTAGCGTCCAAAACTAAGGGACAAAATTTTAAAACCTAATATGTGTTAGAAATAACAACTGTGAAAAGCTGAAATTTTGACAACTGGTAGTCGTTATTATCCATAATAACATACTAAAATTTGAATCATTTGCAAAGGATAGAAAAAGAATTATAACAATTATTTATTTATTTATTTATTTATTTTCAAAAGTAAGGGACAAAATTGAGAAAAACAATGTAAACGGCAAAAAAACAATAAAAATACATGTACAATCAATATTTAGTAAATGAGCCCTTGCTCTCAATGACAGCTGCACATCTTCCACTACAAGAACGAATCAGTTCTTGACAATCCTCGATACTAATTTTAGACCATTTTTCTTGAAGCCTCACCCACAAATCCTCCGTGTTAGTGGGATTTCTTTCCATAACTTTCACTCCTAAGGTCTTCCAAAGATTTTCTATTGGATTTAAGTCAGGACTTTGCGGTGGCCAATCCATAATTTCCAAATCTTGCTCGCTAAGTTAACTCATTACCACCTTTGCCTTGTGACATGGGGCATTATCTTGCATAAAGGTAGCCCTATCGAAACCTGAATTCTGTATGATTGGCACATGATCTTGAACAATGTTTTTATAGATCTGCGCGTTTACACGAGTTTGTAACCGGACAAGAGGCGTTGTACCTTGGCTAAAAACATTCCAAATACCATGACGCTTCCGTCCCCAAACTTGACAGTTTTCTTAGTACACTTTGCATTTAATCTTTCACCAATACGTCTCTTTACATTGTTTTTTCCATCATTTCCAAATAAATTAAACTTGCTTTCATTAAAAATACTTTTGCCCAATTTTCATATGTCCAAATTACATACCTGTTTGCAAACTCTAATCTCTTCTTCTTATTCTTCGAACTAACAAGTGGTTTCTTCCTGGGGTTCGATTAAACAGCCCTATTTCTTGAAGTCGTCTACAAACAGTCTGTCTTGACACATTAACACATGAGGTACTATTCATAACCCTTTTAATTTCTGTGCAAGACTTAAAACGGTCCTTTAATGACATACGCTGCATTATTCGATCTTCTCTTGCCGAAGTTTTGCAGGGTCTGTCGGTTTTAAAAGCACTAACTTTTTTTGCAGTATCATTGTAGGGATTTAACAACCCTGCCTACAACACTCTTGGAACGTTTCACTTTCTCTGAAATCTCTCTAATGGTGTGCTTTTCCTTGTGTAGCTTCACAATAGCTTGTCTCACAGAGTAATCAAGTTTTTGGCGTTTCGCCATGGTGCCGGCTGATGCAACGTTTACAAATGACTAAGTAAGACTTATTCCTTAGAGGAAATCAAAAAATTTGAATATAGCATACTGTTTACATTGTTTTTCTTAATTTTGTCCCTTACTTTTGGACGATCCTATTTTGAAAATAAATAAATAATCGTTATAATTCTTTTTCTATCCTTTGCCAATGATTCAAATTTTAGTATGTTATTATGGATGATAACGACTACCAGTTGTCAAAATTTTAGCTTTTCACAGTTGTTTTTTCTAACAAATATTAGGTTTTAAAATTTTGTCCCTTAGTTTTGGACGCTACTGTACATATATATATATATATATATATATATATATTCATGACTCGTCTAGATCCTTTCATACTAAAGAGCTCCATCCTTGGCCCTAACCAGTTTTAAATTTTCATTAATGACCTTCCCGATGATTATCAGCTCCCAACTTGGTATCTATGCTGATGAGACAACCATTTATTCCTGCCTCGATTGTAAGCCTGATCAATCTGACAAACTCAAAATGGCAGCCGATGTCCAAAATGACCTCAACTCCGTCGTAAAGTGGGGCAAAAGATAGATTGTTAATTTTAATGCCTAAGTTAAAATTAAACTTCTCTCATTTGAGAAACCCCTCACTGCCTTCCATCATGGCTGATGCTAACTTCCGGGAAAGTGATTGGTTGTGCCTTCTCGGGCTAACGTTCTCAGCTGACATGAAGTGGAAAGACTATATTGAATCCATTGCTGGGTCAACTGATAAGAAATTTGGTTAACTGTGTCTTACGAGACATTTTTTCCTCTCCAGAGTCTATCTTACATATCTATAAATCTACCATTCGTCCATGCTTAGAATATTGCTGCCACATATGATCAGGTGCCCCTGCTATTTACTTTGAGATTCTTGATAAAAGAATCAGCAATATTATTGGTCCTGCTCTTGCGTTTCGGTTTCAATAACTTTCCCACCATCATAAGGTTACCTCTCTGTGTCTTTTCCATAAATACTTTCATGGTATTTGTTTCGATGAGCTCTTCGCTATGGAGGCGAGAAGTTCACCTCTTTTCCAACTGATCTTGTACTTTAAACATCATGCAAAGTCAAGATTAAGACAGAAAGGCGCCTCACTTCATCAGAATTCAACAAATTGCGCGCTTGTGTCTTGTGAAAGGGGCTGACCTTTGGTGGCACATTGATGCCGTTAGGCATCAGGATATTGCTCTTCCTGGGTTGAACTTGGGCACCCATCCTCCCATTAGGCTAGCTTAGGTTTCCTTTTTTTGATGCTTTTAGTTTACTTTTCAGTTAACTTAGCTAGGGTATCTATGCTCATTGGCCTCTTTTATTTCTGTCCCGATTTTTCTTTTAAGTTTAATTCCCCATCCCCTCCTCGTTAGGTGGTCAGTGATGTCAGTTCGCTGGTGGATGCACAACGCCTTTCGTTTTGCGTGAGTGGTATTTTTCGTATTTGTTGTTGTGTCTGAATGAGTGCATGTGCTGTGGGGTTTATGTCAGAGTATATTAAATACTCATTGTTTATTTTTTAAATTGTTGTTTTATCTCTCCCCACAGACTTGGGATGAATGAATGTTTTTTTACTATTATAGTCCTATTGTTTCGCATTAATTTCCATCCTTTCCATTTTTAAACCAATGTTTCCCTCTTCTATTTACTTGTTGAGTCATTGTTCAGTTGTGTGACCTGAGGGGGTCATTACTAATCTTATTTTTTTGATGCTTTAGTTTCTTGTAAATAGTTTTTTTTCTATTCATATTGTAAATACTCATTGGGTAAATATTGCGTTTGTCTTTAACAGACTGTCTTTTAGAATTGTTGTTTTTTTATCCCCCCACAGACAATGAATTGTAAATATGGGGACTAGTTAGTATTTTCATAGTGACAAAGATGTATTTGGTGTTTGTAGTAAGAAAGGTACGTATGAAAGTGTTGTTTTGGTGTAAGGAATATTGTTTTGTACGATTGGGTCAGTGTTTGCGGCTAGCTAAGTTATAGTTAAGACAGAACAAGACCGTCCTTTTCCCAATCCCCTTTTCGGCCTTGTGCCACATTTCTGTAGAAAACAGAATTAATATCGCTCTTCGCGATGTGATTGTGGCGGTTTTATTACTAACATTATTTTGTTTGGTTTTCTTATAGTTTTGTTTCTTTTTTGTAAATACTCATTGGGGCTAGTTTTTTTAGAATTGTTTTATTTCCCTCCTCCACAGACAATGAATTGTAAATATGGGGACTTGTTAGTATTTTCATAGAGACAATGAGGTATTATGGTGGATGTCGTAAGAAAGGTACGTAAGAACGTGTTGTTTTTGTGTAAGAAATAGGGTTTTCTATGATTGGGTCAGTGTTTGCGGCTAGCTAAGTTATCGTCAAGACAGAAGAAGACCGTCCTTTCCCCAATCCCCCACTTCGGCCTTGCGCCACATTTCTGTATATATCAGAATAAATATTGCTCTTCGCTATGGTACCTAGACTTTTTAAAATTTAAACACAGTACTAGACTGGCGTCGATGTCTCATCAATTTACAACAGAGCTGGCTAGATGTAACCGTAAATTCTATGCTGACAGTTTCTTTTCTCGCACGTCCCGCTTGTGGAGCTCCCTTGCTTTCCAGCCAACCTACAAAGATTTAAATGCAATGTCAATTTCTATCTAAGGTCTTCCTGTTTAATCTTTTCTCTTCCCGCTCATTATTAATGTTTCTGTTTCTAATTCTTCAACACACTGTAGCCCCTTGTGTCTTAGTGGCTTTACTCCCTTACATGGGGTAATGTTTCCCCGTGATTTTTACCTCATATATGTATATGCATATATAAATGTGTTTTAAACTTATTTGTATCCTCGTGCATTCAGAGGTTCTTAAAATTATTTCGGTTTTCACATTCGAAACATTTTTTACATATTTTTTGTATTGATATTGAAATACGTCTCTTTCACGAAGTCAGTCTTTTCTACCGGCTTCGTAAACTCATTTCATTCTTTTGTCCCTCTTGCCTTTAATATGTCCTCCGATTGTCAAATTTTCTAAGCCCTCTTTTCACATTATATACACTAGAAATTTCAACTGTCTCTTATTATGCTAAATATATATGTCGTTATTTTTACCATTTTCTCTAGATCCTCTCACAAGTTCAATCCATGGTATCCTCATCATCATTCTGTTGAACCACATTTATTTGGCCTCACGTCTCTTCTTCATATGTGATGAAATTGTGCAGTATTCAGTGCCATATAGAAGGACCTATATTACATAACAGTTCAATACTCTTTTTTTTGTTTCTGTTTTTTTTTTCTGTGTCTTAATACTTTGCTTAGCTTTTGGAAGGCATCTTTCGCTATCTCAATGTACCTTCAATGTCACGTTTTCTACCATTTGTTAAACCACTTCCGATTTATTTTCATTTTTGTACCTGCTTTGCAACCTCAGAACATGACTTTAAATGTTTCTACTTGCTTGATTTTGACATCCCCAATTTGTAATTTGCATGTTGAGCTGTCCATTTTGCTGACAACCATACATTCTGTATTCTTAATCCTTAGAAGAGGAATTAAAACACTGATTCACTTCGCAAGTATTTCCTGAGAATTAAATAATAAAAATAGATGGAACGCACATGTCTATTTTTATATTGCACACCACCGCTTTCAAAATATTAAATGCATATCACTCGTTGGTCGCCGGCATTTGTAAGTCCACCCACTAAATTCTTTTTATATACCTCTCTCTCTCTCTCTCTCTCTCTCTCTCTCTCTCTCTCTCTCTCAAATGCACGCACATACACAGAGAAAGAGAGAGAAACGTGTGTGCGTGAAAATATTTTTTAATGGCGAGCAAAAATTTATGAGAATATTTATTCGCGTGCACATGTGTTCTTATATCAACAATGTTTAGATTTATAAAAAGTATTCATAAGCGATTCACGTCTTCATTTCTTTTTTTTTTTTTTCAACTCGCAGGAGATGGACCTAGAAATCTCCTAAACGGTTATGAATCGAATTTTGGAATATAAAATCATTAAAAATAAATTTTAGAAAAACAGAAAAAAAAAAAAATTAACGTGATACTATAGATCTATGACCCCCACCCCCACTCCCCTGTAAAAAGAGGCTACTTACCGAGAAGAAGCTCGGGACAAACAAAATGTGCCTACAGCCGTCATTTTCTCTCCCATGACCGGGTGTGATCGTAGAATCAATACTCAGTTGAGAACCTCACCATTTCCCACATCATATCTGACTTTAAATTCACTTAGGCAAGTAGACCTGGTAAAAACAAGCATCTACAAATCAAATTACAACCGATGTTTTTTGGGGGGTTTTTTGTTGTTTTTTGAGGTTTTTTTAATCGTTCCACCCCAAGCAAGGCAATAATGCCACTAGAAAGCAGGGGTTTACTGTTGGAAGTTTTGGGTACCCTGGTGTGAGCCAGCCAAAATGAGCTGACTCATTTTATAGTTCACCAATAGAAGGGTTAACCAATCAGAAGGCTCAAAATATTCAATGCGCCGTCTATAAAGGCGGCCATGTTTTTCCCGAATATTCACTGCCAGCCTTTGATAACCCGGACGAGCCTCCACCGAAGGGCAGAGTCTCGTCTGGGGAGGTTGACTGCCCCCTGGCTAAATATCACTGCCAGCCTTTGATATCGAAGTCTGAAGAATTACGGAACAGCTGCTGATGGTATTGGCGATATAGTCAGATTCAGTAGAGTGTCTGACTCATGAATGTTAATTTTTAACGTTGTTTCATTGAACAGATTAAGTACTGTGCTGTATTCTATATTGATAGACTATGGCGAACATGGTCAACATTTACAGGGAGCAAAAGTGAAAGAGAATGAGAAGATTGAAAATGGGGAGATCTGAGGAAAGAACAACAAAGGAACAGGACTCAAGAAGACAGTAGACGGCGATTGACGTTGCGTTTAAATTTCTGAAGATTGCAGTTATCTGGGAAGCGAGGAATCGGAAGGGAGCTCCACAGGTCGGAAGTGTAAGAAAAACAAACAGTTGTAGTAAAATTGTCGTTTGCATCGAGCTAGTTCAATAGTAAAACGATGAGACTTAGTTGCTAATCAGATAAAAGATAGAACAATGAATTAATCTATGTGGGGGGAGGTTCTTATCGACCTGCTGTTTATTAATTATTTACTGATTTTCATTCTTTAATTAAAATTGTTAATTCTATCCAATATAAGGCTCGAGATCTACTCGAGGTAGAAGTTTACAATAGGAGTGGCATTGATGAATAAGGCTTGAGATATGAATGTAAGATGGTAAGAAGTAGAGATTATGAAGACAAGGAGGATGGATAATGACTGTCGTCGGACCCTGGAAAAGATCAAGAATAAAGTACCCAGGAAAACCGAAAACCTTTTTTTTTTTATCCTTTCGCCCTAAAGGAAGGCGACAATGTCACTAGAAAGCAGGGGGTTACAGGGAATGAGAATGAAAGAGAAGAAGACGATTTAAAATGGGGAGAATTGAGGAAAGGACAACAAAAAAAGAGGCTTCAAGAAAACAGAAGATGGCGATTGACGTTACATTTAAAGTTCTGAGTGTGAGTTATCAGGGAAGCAAGAAAGGAGTTCCACAGGTGGGGAGTGCGGGAAAAGAAATTGTTAGAGTAAATGTGGCAGTTGCATCTAGCTAATTAAACAGTAAAACGATGAGACCAAGTTTCAAATCTAGTAACATGCTTAAATTCATGTAGACGGGGCACCAGCAAAAAAAGCTCATCCAATCAGTTGCCATGATAAGAAGAGACAGAAGGAAGCCAAGCCACGTCGGTAATAATGTGAATGGAGACAAGATGGCTGATCAGTATCGATAGCAATTCTTAAGAAGAGGCTGCCTGAGTTGAACTTTCTTCTTGCATTTGAAACACAGGGGAAATAATGGTGAATCGACTCCTTGGAATTAGCAGGACATATCCTAGCAGTAAACGTCTGAACTGATAGGACTGTATCAAGGCTAGAAGGTGATAATTAATTGAACCCGGCCAAGGAATTGTATCAATATGATATATTTGTCCCAATCTGACATTTATGAATATATAATATGACAGAAGGAGTCGGATGCTTTCTTAGAGAGACATAATGAACCGAGTATTTATCTCCCTACAATGGACTGTATATATGAGATCTGAAATTGATACCCAATACGCATTCAAATTATGGAGCCTCATTGGGAACCTAACTGTTCATCGGGTAGGACGTTAGTAGTTTAGGAATTATTTTTAAAAAAATGATAGGAAAGTTGTGCTCTATGGCCTTCTTAAGCCGTATTTCGATCTGTGTAACCTTTTAGGGAATTTCGAACTGGATTCTTGAATTAATCTATCGGGGCGTAATGACAAAAGTACGCTGGCGTAGGCTTTAAAAAAAAAAACTTTATTCAACTGAGAAAACAAGGTTCTCGTAGAGTGTCCTTTTATAGTCCCAGTAAAAAGAAATAGCTCTCTCAAAAAGGAGAGTAACAAAACAAGGGGAGATCACTCTGGATTATTCGTAAGAGGAGGAAGGTCTTTATCGTTCCACTGTTTATTAATTATTTACAGATTTTCATTTTTTTTTAATTAAAATTGTTAATTTCAATCAATGTAAGGCTCGAGATCTACTCAAGGTAGAAGTTTACAATGGGAGTGGCATTGATGAATGAGGCATGAGATATGAATGTAAGAAGCAGAGATTATGGAAACAGATGTTAGATAATGACTGTCGTCTGACCCTGGGAGAGATCCAATGTATCCAGGAAAATCGCAAACTATTGTTTTATGCTTTCCCGCTAAAGAAAGTGAACAATGTCACTAGAACGCAGAGGGTTACATACAGTGAAAATGAAAGTGAATGAGAAAGTTGAAAATGGGGAGGATTAAGGAAAAGGATAAAAATGAAGCCTTCAAGAAGACAGAAGATGACGATTGACGTAGCATTTAAATATTTAAAGATTCTAGATATCTGAGAAGCCAGAAATCGGATCTAGTTACACGGGTGGAAAGTGCGAGAAAATAATCTGTTACAGTAAAAATGACTTTTGCATCTAGCTAGTTCATTAGATAAACGGTGAGACCTAACTGCCAATCAAGTACCACGTTTAAATTCGTGTAGTCGGAGTACCAGGAGAACAAAAAAAATCTCGTCCGACGAGATACAATGAAAATATTTGTAGAACAGACAGAGGGAAGCCACGTCACGTCGGTGAGAAAGTGGCCGGAAACAGGATCAATTGCATTGAAAAACCCTGAAGAATTCAGACTGGCTTCACAGGGAGCTAGAAAATCCGCCTGAAAGCCCGATTGATCCACGGCTTACAGCCACATCACGTTGAAAAACCGTTCCTCTTATGATCACCGAAGTTAAGCAATGACTAGCCTGGTTGATACCTATATGGGTAACTGCTTAGAAAAACCAGGTGCTGCAAGCTTGGATGTGTGGGTGGTGTAACGGATATTGGCTTAGAACTGTTAATCGGACAGTCGAGTTCAAATTGCGGTTACGGTTGTTAAATTCACTTACGCGGAAATACCATTTGGAAAATTATGAAACCATCTCCTCTCCTCTCTGCTATGAGTTATTAGGTCGGTGCAAAAATAATGTCGTTTTTTGACGTTAAGTTGAACGTCAAAAAACGACATTATTTTTGCACTGACCTAATAATTAGTAATACTTGTATCACTAAATTATTATTATCTTCAAGAAATTTTCTCACAACCTAAAGGAATATTTTCTGGTTTTAAATAATTTTCAATTCGTAGAGAACGAATCAATAAACATCTGTCTACATTTTTGAGATGTAACTATTAGCTATTATGTCGTTTTTTGACGTTCAACTTAACGTCAAAAAAACGACATTATTTTTGCACCAACCTAATAATTACACTATTCCCATCGTTCGGACTGTTGTGCTAATCTTTATAGCCATATTCACGATGTTTCGGCCGTTGTGTGCTTTGGACTTCTTCAGGTGATATACATTGGAAGTTCGAAACTAAATAAAGGGTTCGGTTCGAAATTCCAACGTATCACCTGAAGAAGGCCATAGAGTACAACGGCTGAAACGTCGTGAATATGGTAATAGACATGAGAACAAAAGTCCGAACGATGTAAACAGTGTAAATAGAATCAATAAACAATAAAAAAAAAATATCTCTATTTAACAGACTGCGTTCTATGCCCAACTTGTAATAAACGCTGTGTTTGAGTTTCGATAGAGAAGTAATATGAAGCGCCATTAGCGACAACAGAAATGACATGGTCGAAAGTTCCATTACCAAAACACGGATTCCAATGATGAAGTTGAAACGATAACAACGGAAACCTCTTGACCTGAACACGCTGCCCACATAATCAAATATATATCCTTTTTTTTCGATTTTGACGTCCCAAATCCATAGTTCACACCTTGAGCTCTCTCTCTCTCTCCTTCTCTCTCTCTCTCTCTCCCCCTCTCGATGAAAACTGTACATTGGTTCTTCTTTACTTTTCTTCTTAACTGTTTAACCCTCAATCTAGCAATGGACGCATATTTTTTTTCAAGGCTATTTTTTTACTCTTATAGATATTCTATACAAATTATTTTTGTAACTGTTATTTTTTTCTTCATTTTCTATCATCTACATAAAGGAAATAAATTTACAACAACAATAAAAAAAATGGTGAGAGATTTCTATTACGAAGTGGATCTATTAATTGAATAAAAAAATATTTTCCTTTCTAAAGAGGTGCCATTTTTTTTTTATTAGAAGGCTTATCAAGTTACACTTTTTCTTCGCTATATTTCAAAACAACGCTTTTTACGCACAATGTATTCTTCTCCTACAATGGAGTCATCAGATTCTAAAAACACTGAATTTTATGTTACAATAAGACAAAAGGAAGCGTAGATACAATTGATAGGATACTAAAGGTAGGTTCTTGCAAAAACATAACTCGGAGATGGTCTTTGACTCTATTGTACAACATGATAGGCGTCAGTGCCGTTAATGCTTTCATAACAGCCAAAGATCTTGAGTTAGAATCTATGAGAAAAAAAGAAATAATTTCCTCATACGTCTTGGAATTAAACTCGCAGAATTGATACAACTACAAACTCTAACAAACAATACACTGCCCAAGAACTATCCAAGAGAAAGAAAATACGATGCACTTTGTATGGTCCCAAAATGGATAGAAAAAGGCGAAATATCCATCATATTTTCCAAAAACATATCTGTCAAAACCATTTGAAAGTATTCTCTGCAAAATGCATCGATGAATTGTAATTTTTTTTAAATGTAATTTGAATTAAGTTTATAATTTCAAACTAAATGCAAAGATGTATTTTAATTTTTTCGTTTCAGTGAATACAACTTGTTTAAAATTGTTATTTCTTTGGTCATCTATAATTATACATACCTAATATCATCAAAAAATGCAAAAAGTTTGAATAGTTTAAAAAATAGAAATGAAGTCGTTTCACCCAGGCGATATTTAATAGAAGCCAGGACGGTTTTAAGCAGTAAAATATTTCTCGTAGTTGTAATTTTGAATCTAACATTCGCACACTGTCGTCTACGTAGCGTATGTTTAAAGGCTAAGTCCGTCGATAATAAATCCTCGTGTGTATTCTTGTCATCTTAAAACCATTTCGATGTACAGGTTAAATCAATCCGCTGAGAAAACATATTCTTACCGAAATCCTCTTTCTATTTTTGTGTATTCATTAAGTCGTTCTCTATCCACATGCAAGCCGTTTTGTTTCCAGTAACGATTACAGATTATTTGGTATATCTTACAAATCATGCTTGCCTAACATTTCAAGTTGTTTGAGTCGCGCCTTTTCGTTGGACAAGATTCAAAAACCTCTTGTGAGGTTCTGGCGATTAAAAATAGGGGCTGATATTTACCCAGAGGCTTTAATTCTAAGACTAGGCTAAAGGTTAAAAATTGTTTAAGATATACACTATATGCCAGAATTTGGGGCCATCGTCTGGATTTTAAAGGATTGCTGAAATATGTCAGGTTGCTTGCTTGTTCCAAAAACTGACTTACTAACTCCGAACAGAACTGATAGCCTTTATCATCCTGAAGTGTTTTATCATAGATTGAATAATTATAATATTGACTAATAATAATATTAATTATAATAAGAATAAATAAGCACTTTGCTGCATAAATCTACTTTAGTATCTGTCTATTTTTTCTGAGATGAAGTATTATGTACATTATTTACATTATTCGAACTATTGTCCTCATCTATGTCGCCATATTTATTACAACGTTTCGGTCGTTGTACGCTCCGGCCTTCTTCAAGTGATCGGAATGTCGAACTGACCCTTTATTTCGCTCACCGGGGTAGACTGTTCTAGTTCCACGTGCCATGTTTGATGGATGTCAGTTATCTCCTGTTAATTCCCCTCTCCAGGTTCTCCACTGCCTTAACCGGGTATTGAACTCACACTCTTTGGGTCCTGTCACTGGACCTAACCAACGCCTTGATCCACTGTATCAGGTGTCCATTTTTTTTCCTTATCTAACAAGCTGACTAATGTTGCTCTTAAGGGTGTTAGGTTTTAAGTTTTAGGGTACTCTCTCTCTCTCTCTCACTCACTCTCTCTCTCTCTATCTCTTTCTCTCTTTTTCTCTCTTTCTC